ATTCTCCCCTACAAACGCTGTTTGTCGCTGCCCTAGCTGACCCACCAATTCCCAGTGTATGCCTCGTGGTCTGGAGTCAACCAGCACTGCCATACATCGCGGAGGCGGGGGTCAACTGCTAAGCCCGCCTACCCGCTATTTAAGACCTGACCTCGTGGTGACCTGTCTCTTATAACCTGCAGCCAGCAACACCTCCTCCTCGGCTGCTGCCTGGCGGCCCTCAGCTCCTCCTCCGCCTGCCTGGGGTCCTCTCTCCAGCTGGCGAGCATGGCGACCACAAGCTGTCCTTCTCTGGCGTCCTCACCAACCAGCTCTCTACATCATGCGCCAACCATGCGGCCTTCCCAGCACCAAGCTGCATTGTACATCAATACAACATGTATATAGAGAGCACATTGTGAGTTTCCTTTCTCCATCCCATCCTGAGTGTGAACCAAACATCCTGAACCCCACAAATGGTGATTCGAGATTCACTCACACAGGATGGAGGAGGAAACTGATCACGCTTCAGTCTTCAAGCAACATAGAGGCTGACTATCCACAGAAGCAGCTTTCTCATCGGATCTACAACTACTGTCTCTACACACTTGGGTTAGACACCCTAGAGCAGCTCTGCTACTCTAAGCAGACACCAGCTCCTCTTCCTGCACTCGCCCTGGAGCCCCAGCACACCAGTCCCTGCCTCAGGCGCCGACCCCAGCCCCTTGGTAACCCCTGATGCGGCCTCTGTTCAGGACATATATCCTTACTGCACTTGGTGTCCATTGTAGTGGAATTCTCCCCTACAAACGCTGTTTGTCGCTGCCTAGCTGACCCCCAATTCCCCAGTGTATGCCTCGTGGTCTGGGTCAACCAGTGCCGCCATACATCCGGAAGCGGGGGTCAACTGCTAAGCCACGCCTACCCCCGCTATTTAAGACCTGACCTCGTGGTGACATATCTCTTATAACCTGCAGCCAGCAACACCTCCTCCTCGCTGCTGCCTGGCGGCCCTCGCTCATCATCCGCCTGCCTGGGGTCCTCTCTCCCTGGCGAGCATGGCGACCAAGCTGTCCTCTGCGTCCTCACCAACCAGCTCTCTACATCATGCTTGTAACCATGCTGCCTTCCCAGCACGCTGCATTGTACATCAATACAACATGTATATAGAGCACATTGTGAGTTTCCTTTCTCCATCCACATCTGATGTGAAAAACATCTGAACCCCACAAATGGTGATTCCCGGAGATTCGCACTCACAGGATGGAGGAGAAACGATCACGATCCAGTCTTCAAGCAACATGGAAGACTGGCTTATCCAGAAGCAGCTCTCATCGGATCTACAACTACTGTCTCTACACTAGGTTAGACACCTACTGCACCCTTACAGTCGGCCTCTGTTCCTGAGTCGGACCCACACACCCTCTTTTCTCCCTCAGGTACTCCCTTAATGTCCTGCACCTGCTGCTGTCGTGGACCCAGCTGCTGTCACGAGCCCTCATCACTTCTGCTGACGAGCCCCTGCTCCCTGCAGGCCCACACACCCAGCAGGCGCATCTGACGACCTGGTACCTGCCGTGAGGAAGCACAACATTCATTGCCTCCACACACCCTTATTCTCTCTTCTCCCACAGATAATGTATCTAGACAGTTGTCCCCAGCGACCGGCTCATCCACGCCATCGCCGTTTCTCTCATGAGGCACGCACGCCCGTTCTGCCTCGCATGTGCTATGCAATCCTGCAGACAACAAGTCTCCTACACCCAGGAGGGAAGGGGTATTGTAGTGGAATTCTCCCTACAAACGCTGTTTGTCGCTGCCCTAGCCGACACAATTCCCCAGTGTATGCCTTGTGGTCTAGGTCAACCAGCACTGCCATCACGGGCCGGGGTCAACTGCTAAGCCACGCCTACCCCATATTTAAGACCTGACCTCGTGGTGATATCTCTTTCTACCTACAGCGCGCAACACCTCCCCTCCGCTGCCTGGAGCCCTACTTCTCCTGCCTGGCGGTCTCTCTCCTGCTGGCGAGCATGGCGACCACAAGCTGTCTCTGGCGTCCTCAACCAGCCTCTCTCTACATCACGCTTGTAGCCATGCTGCCTTCCCAGCACCAAGCTGCATTGTACATCCAATACAACATGTATATAGAGAGCACATTGTGAGTTTCCTTTCTCCATCCCATCCTGAGTGTGAACCAAATATCCTGAACCCCACCTAGCCACATTGTCAAAACTGCACACGAGTCCACCTGGTCCCATAACTCGTCGAAAGCTGGCAGTTTAGGTGGCCGAATTTACTGTTGAATACATAGATGACGTTGTGTGGTCATGATACAACCGACTCTATACTTGTTAATGTAAATGCTCCATCAATTCTTCTTGTCTTTGAACCCCTGTGCTTTCTCATCCTCTTAATTATGTTCCTTCAGTTCATAATCGGTATAAATGGAAAGGTGGTAGTACAGTGGCCAGTAATTATGGTGGAAGACCCACTTGGTGAATACCGAGGTTAGAACAATTCTGTATTGAGGCCAGATTCTTGCTACCACAATGATCCAAAGTGGGAGGATGAACAAGGAAAACGGAGTCCATATAATGTATAACCTAGCACAACAAAGTACATGTTCTGGGTGAGGTCTGTAGTTCCCTGGTCTGGCTACTGAGGAATGTCTGCAGCAAACTAACGCCTACTTTTAACCACTCAAGCCTACATTCCCCAACCTCGTAGCTTCTTCACAACCACTAGGCACCTGTACTGGTAGCTCTCGCCTGAATCTGTAGGCAGCAATCCCTCCTACTGCAAATGTTGGAACTCCATTGGCCCACGTCTGAGCTCACTCGTCTTGGGTGGTAGATACTAACTTGTTACCTTGAGTATAGCTGTACTACTACACCTCCACCACTGCTAGTACTCATCACCATAATTACTACTGTACTCATTACAGTTACTCACAACAGCACTCCCCTCCATTACTGTACTGTCATTCACATTATATTACAACATTCCTATACAAGAAACCATTCATTGTTTAACCCTTCACTAACAGTCCTCACAGCTACAGTAGATACATCTCCCACAGTTCCCAGGGCCCCTTAGTAGGTAGATACACAAGGGGATACAGACGTTTATACTATAACACTTGTTAGCAGAATACAGCAGATACGATACACTGCTGACATGTGACAAGTTTTCTGTCTGGTATAACAAAGGCTGATAAAGTATAGGTCAATTATTTTAAAAATCGGACATAGGTACAACTGGTTTGTAGTATTAATGCACGAGAACTAGTTTGTGTGGCATAGCATCAAGGCGAAGTGACAGGTGGGGAGTAATGCGGCACCCAGCCTTGAGGGAGTGTCAATACGACCTCGCTCGTAACGTGTATGAACAAGTGCAAACTGTTGTTTTTTGCTTATTAACTCTTATTTTTCTGCCCTCATTATGGCTCCCAAATACAAACCTGATGCAAGTGATAGTAGTGCATCCAAAAAAAGGAAAACAATTAGTGAAAGTTGATGTAATTAAATGTTCTGAAAATACAAAACTTTGGTAAAGAGTTAGGCTTCAGTCGGTCAACAATAGGAACAATTTTGAAAGACAAACATAAAATTTTTGAACACATAAAAGGATCTACACCATGAGCTCAACTGTAGTAACAAACCAAAGAAGTGGATGTGAATGGAAGATCTCTTATAATTTTACTTTACTTTATTTAGTCATTCAATTTCTTATTCTCTTAATTTAAGTGAGTCAAGATGATATAGTGCACATAGGGTATGTGTTCCAACTTACGTACTTTTCCGACTTATGATCATAAGGATGGGACTTGTGTAACCAGGACCCCTAATACTTGTTTTATGACTTATATCCATATATCATTTGACATCATCACTCTCAGATAATTTACATTGGTGTCCTATTGTCTGGTAATTTTTATATTAATTTACATACTTCAAAGGAAAATTCAACTCATACTTGACCATTAAAATTTTTTTATTTTCCACAGACAACAATTTTTTGGCCTTTGCCCAGAAAATTTTCAGAAAAATTCATCTACTATGAATAGCATTCCCCCAGCCTCTTGATACTGCCTAAAGAACTAAGAATAGAAATGGAGGATTGATCCTGAAATTCTATTTTCTGCAACCCATATCCAAGTGGCTTCTTTTAACACAGGCTGCCTACTGTTAGTTCTAGTTCCCCAGACAACTCCCAAACAATGGCAATTAGCTGGGAAGTGAAGTCAAAATGATGAACTGACCTGGATCAAGAGAAGGCAGGCACTTAAGTCAGGTGGAAAGTGTGCTGATTAGGCAGATGTGTCCAAAATACCTGTTGTCTCTAGTGGACAATTGTTACAGTACACCTGATCTTCCTTATGAGTGTGAGGAGGGAAGAGGCAACTGGTTCACCCCAGAAGTTAATAGATTAACCTTCATTAACAGAAATGGGAGATGTCTTAGAACACAGAAGCTCCCAATAAACAGCCTGTATAATAAGATGCTGCCTGATGGTAGGCCTAAACCAGAAAAAATATGAATGTCTGTCAAACATTCAAAGTGAATACAAAGTACTACAGAGGAATTTGCCATTTGTAACACCTATGATATGTGTTCCATTGTGCTATCCTCTTTATCCTTTTGACAATGTTTTTTACTGTGTAGTTTTAATGAACCATAGTCTCTGCACTTATAATCACACTTGTCACATTTATAAGGTTTTTCACGGTATGTATTCTCATGTGTCTCTTGAGTGCTTCACTGTAACTAGTCTTGTATGAGCAAACATTACAGTTATATGGCTTCTCTCCTGTATGAATTCTCATATGTTTGGTAAGGTTACTCCTCCATTGAAAGACCTTCTTACAGTCAGGACATACAAACCCAATATCAGTTACCCCTCATTACTTGCTTCTTTTCTGCTGGGTCTCCGCTTCCTGGATCAATGGTCTCTTTCCACTTAACACCTTCAGTAGACTGCTTTCCTCTCTGAAATGGCAATAATGCAAAATTAGAAGAAGATAATGGTTTGTTTCAGAAGATGATAGCTTTAAAATGTATTGGATCTACATTAATATTATAGAAAATAAAACACCCGACAGTATACTGCATAACGCATGAAGTGCTTGATCTAGTTCACACACATTGTATAATGTTCTTTGCAGATTCCTCCATTGTGTTATCTTTCACATCAACAGATTCTATTTTTTTCATTCTTATCTCTGGTCTCATGCAGAGCTGCTTAACTGTAGAAATACTGTAATGTATATCTTACTCTTAAGGCCAACGAGGGCAAGGATAATCTTAGCAGTGAAACCCTCAGAACCGAGATATCCTAAACTAGGAAAGTACAGTGCAACATAATTTAATTACTGAGCAAAACAAGCCATTATCTTTCAATATGTTTACACTTACATTATCAGGAGTGTTGCTGCCTATGAAGACTTTCAGCATAGAATTGATATCAGCACTCGAACTTTGGGATAGGCATCTGTACCAGGGTTTGCATCCATTTCTCTGTTGTGCGAGTTCTTATTTGCACATAAATCATAACCATCCGACGCCGAATGTGATTTTTGATAATGTGAGTAGTTGTTGGTCATGTCTTGTGTGTCTGACTCTTCATACTCAATAGGTTCTTCTTTTAGCGTAAAACTTTCACTGCTTTTCCTTCTTTTTTTATTTACAACCAGACTTATTTTTACTATTGTTTATATTATTTTCCAAATTGTTTCTACACAACTTCTTTGTAAATTTGTACACCTCCTTCTGTTCTACCTTCTCCCCATTCACATTTTGCTCTTCATTAAAATCACATGGAACTGCCAGCCCTCGAATCAACAGGATCTCAGCAGCATTTACTAACTCTGCTAGATCACTTTGGGGTACAACAACTTCTCCGAAATACATAAAGTGAGGAGGAGACAAGTTCTCTGTGCTGCACATCAGGAAGAAATGGAACCTTGATGGGGAACATCTATCAACAGTTTTTGAAAATATTCACTGCAAGCTGATAGAATAAACTTGTGCACCCAGACTTCACGGCCTTCACATTCAAGTCTAACATCTGTAAAAATCTCCTGAAAGAAGAGTACAAACACGTTAGGTACAGTAATATAACATGCAGTAATTTTACATCATTCATCAGGTCGTCCTATCAAGTTACTCATAATAACCATTTTGTGAATTCATCAAGTGAAAATTGGTACAGTAATATGTATCCCCGATAGCTGAAATCTTTGATCCCCGGAACTTTGCATTACAGTACAGTCATGGCGGTTAACGTCCGATCGCATATACGTCCGTTCCCCCGCCCCCAACCAAAAAAAATCAGCGCCTGCTGGACCACCACTCCCTGACGGAGACACGATGATCCTCCCCATACTGGTCAGATATTATGTGTTAAAGGAATATGCTTCCTTCCTTAGGCTTTAGTAAGCATTTTCCTCCAGGTGTAATGTTAACCTACATCTATTGAGGATAAAATCTTTCACCTACAAACTGACAATAACACATTTGCTGTAATCAGACATATCTAGTTGCCTCAACAATTTGCAACCCCAGTTGCAATTGCAACCCCAAGTTTGTTTCAGAATAACTTCAAGTCTCTGGTGCACTCTAAGATTAGAGAGAAAAGAAAGAGGACTCAGGCGTCCTGTGAGCAGGACTCGTATGATGGGGACCAAATAAAAAAACGCATAGCTACATGTTTTGTGGACTACAGTATTAAGCATACACTTTTTTTCATTACTTTTGGCAATAAACCTGCATAACACTGTGTATTTATGATATTTACCATAACATTATATATATATTTAGTGGGTCTAAATGGTGCGTAAAATAGGAAACTTGGGGAGTTGGAGTCTTGGGTGCCTGGAATTGAGCAGAGAATGATCCCGTAGGTTCTGTGCTACCGTTATCCCAGCGTTCTTACGTTATCACGCACTCGGCGGGGAGTCCCCAATTAGGCGATGATAACCAGGGATGACCTGTACTGTACTGTATATACTTGTGACACTGGCCAGTTGCTTCTGGTGTATGGTACAGGGGTGCCAAGTGGCTTAGCTAGATCCCTTCTATCAAAGAATAAACAATTGAAATTGAATTACCGTCAACTTGTTTTATGGGGTGTTCAAATAAGTACTATCTTACAAGAATCCTGTGACATAAGTTATATTCACCAGGTCGTTTGGGTGTGTAGAAATTATGAGAAGAAACTAAAATCGCTCCTAAGTAATGATAAATAAACACATGGGTCTTCAGTTCCAACTGTCAAATCTTCCTAAAATAATAAAGAACACTCTGTCTGCCTCTCCTCCCCCGCCCCCTCTTCCACATTCCTCCTCTTCTGACAAAAAAGATTGGTGATTTCTTTATGTTTTTATCTTATATAATATCTCTCGAGACTAAAGGATTTGTAATATAATTTTTTGTAAATCCTTGTACCAAGACAGAGATTAATTTAGTATGGCATATAAACTTGAATATAAAATACATTTTTAACACACTGTAATACACATTTATAAAAGTTTTCAATATATTTTTTTGATGAATTTACATAAATTTCTTTATTTTTCATCCATTTAAATTTTACACCATACTAAAAAGCGTAAAAGAAATGGTATTTTGAATTACTAAAAGCTTGGGCGTTCTTGTACTAATTTGTTGATTACTGTGCTAAAATTGTTGTGCTCTGGTCACAATTACAACATGTTTATATTCAAATAAATCAGTATCTTACAAGTCAGCAATGGTAATTATATTCTCTAGGTCCATATCACTGGCATTTTAAAATGAGAGAAGCTTAGTGGGACTGTTAAATAAACACACACAGACCTTCGGCTCAAACCCCAACGTCTCACCTCAACCCCCTCCCCCACCACCCCTCGCTGGCTGGCTGACAAGTCCCCTCTCCCAACCCAGGGTTTTAAACACAGTTTCTCTTCCTATATAATATCTCAGACTGGTGGGAACATAATTGCATTGCTGGGATCCCTTGCAAGACAGCCAATAATTTTAAGCCATAAGCAATCTTCTCTTTGTAAAATAATTTTTTTTGACACACATTTGAGTATGTGTACCCAGTACTGTGAATACATTTTATAAAGGATTTTCCTACTGCTTATTTTGGGTGGAGTTACATAGATTTCTTCATTTATTTTGCATTTCATTTACATGCACACACTAAAAAATGTAACAAGAAATAATGGCGCAATTCTAAGCTTGAGGAGGCGTTCTTGTACTAATTTGATTCACGGTACTAAAATTGTTTTGTCCGAGGTGCAAAATTACAGCATGTGTTTATATTCAAATTAATCGGTATGTTTACAAAAGACCGGCAATGCCAATATATACCAGTCATTCTGGCGCATAAGAAGCTTAGTGCATAAGAACTGATAAATATACAACGTTAGACCTTGGCCTCACGGCAGCTGTCAAACCCTCCCCTACCGCCCCTCGCTTAGCTCCCTCCTCTCCCCCATCTGCCCGGCGTTTGCTGGAATCTGTAAAACAGTGAATAATTTTAATATAAATGTCATGTATTTTGCACAAGAGATAAAAATTAATCACCTGTATCACATTACATTAGTGATTTAGAATACGTATATAGTATTCCACATACACCTAAGTATAAATACAAAGTTTATGTGATGATCGGACAACGTCCATTTAGGTTAATGTCGCGTTTAAACGATATCTAGGACCTAACGGCATGACTGTACTCGGAAAATCGAATTTTAACATTTCAAAAAATTCTGGGAAAAACCTCTCTATTCCAAGCATTTGAATGAATTTCTGAGCGATTGCATCATGTACCAACATGTGCCAAGCTCATGGGAGGTAGTTGAGAGTGTTCATATTACGTTGTACTACTGTCATGTGACTGTATGGGATGTCTATGATTTTTTTTTCTTATAATTTTTTCACGGGATTAGCCCACCCGAGTCTGGGGCAAAAATGTAACAATAATAATAATAATAATAATTAGTTCATAGTAAATAAAATTTATAATAAAAAATATAAAATTGAATAACAATAATAACAACACTGATGATAATAATAATAATATTAATAATAATAACAATAATAATAAAGAACCATAAAGAAATAATAATAAAAAAATCAATACAGTATAAGTCCAAAAATCCGGATGCCAGGAATCCGAACCACCCGAGAATCCGGACTTGACTCAAACTTTTTAAATTTAGCGGGCTTTTGTGGGTTATGTGAATGAATGGAGTTGCTTTAAAAAATTAATTTACATAATTCGAATAATAGTAATTGTAAATTATAGGTAACTAATTTTGTTAGTTTGTAATTAGCGAACTGAAATGTAAAATTTGAGGCACTATAATCTTTTGTGTGTATGTGTGCATGTGTGAATGCCACAGCTGCACAGCGACAACAAACGACCACCACGATCGCCACTTTAAAACAAGCAATCAAACTGTGACAACGTATGTAATTTTGAGTCCCTACTCTTTCCATGTACAGAGTACAAGCCCATAATAATGGCCCTAAGTAGATAAATTTCGTTGTGTGAAGAAAGAACACATTGTTGGTGACAAACTTAGTAATTAAGAAACTAGAATGTAATGTGAGCAATGCTGTTCTAATGGAAACATACAACATTGGAAAGTCTACAATTTATGATATAAAAAAAAAGGCAAAATAAAATTCTAGAATTCACAGCTTCTTCTGAGCCTTACATTAAAATTGCTGAAAGAAAAAGTTTACATTGGCCCAAATTAGAAAATCTTGATAAAGTGTTGCATGAATGGTTTTTGTTAAAAAGCGATCAGAAGGTATGTCAAACTTCTGGCCGATGCTTATTGCCAAAACAGAGTCTTAAGAACAAATGAACATTGAATCAGAGTGCGCATTTAGTGATGGATGGCTTAGGAATTTCAAGACTTGTCATGGTATTAGACAGTTTGTTTACATTTTGTCTAGTGTTGACTTTATTTTTCTTTAAAACTGCTCGTTTTGATAAATGAAGCATGCTTTATTTGCTAATGAATAAACTATCAAAATGTACCTGTTCATCTCTTCTTTATTCCTCCTTAAATTTTAATTTTAAAAGTACTGCCTGAGAATCCGGAAAATCCGAAAATCCGGACCGACCCAATCCCCAAGCAGTCCGGATTTTTGGACTTCTACTGTAGTGAGAAACAATATATGTCTGGTTGATGTACGGTGTCTCACAGTCTATCTCCTCAAACTTTTGCATCACGCTTTCACTATTTTTTGCATGATCTGTGTTGTGCAGTATTACTGTACCAGGATACACTCAGCCAAGAATATCATTAAAGCAGTTTTAAGGTGTAAAAAGTGATTACAGTTACGTATATGGCACCGTACATTCAGTAAGTGTTCAAGTACCGTACCAACAGTACTACTGTATAAAGCAGAGTGGACAGTGTATGTCTGCTTTAAGTTAGTGTGTAGAGGGTGTATGTACATTATACAGTGTGTGTATAATCGCTCCTTCATGGAAGGCGGAGAGTGACAGCAACATCTGCTACAGTACAGTAGATTGTACAAGACAAAGGCAGGCCATCCTGCATCACCATATCACCATTTGGCCTGCCTGTATCACAAGCTCAAGATTACAGCATCGGCTGGTGAGTACAGTAGTATTGTATACTGTATAGTGGTATATTTTGTTTACATTATACTGCACATGTTTTCATAAATAAATACCACTCTGTGTCTCTCCTCGCCAGATGTGTAATTTAGACATAGAAACATTAATCAATGCCTGGAAAAAATTCCGTAGATGTGCGATTTTTTCTGGGGATAGGAAAATTTCTCTCAATACCTGGAAAAGCCTTAAATCTGGCTAACAGGGATATAACTGTGTTAATTAATTTTGCGTTTTAATATCTTTCCTTCAAACCCAATCCAGTGTGGGGTGGATCAAGAGGCATAAAAACATCAGTGTGGAAGAAATGGTCCAAAGTGTAATTCTCTAAGTATCAAACAGCCAGTAACAATGCTTGGAATACTAAATGAATATATCTGAATGATTATTTGGCTTTCCTATAAATATTGCACCTGAGAAATTATTATTTTAGGAATAACCTACATTAAAATTATGTATGAACCAAATATTTAATATATTATATATAAAACAAGCCATAAAAAACTATCTAGACTGACAAATAATATTTTGTATCCATGACTTCAATATTGTATAGTACTGTATTGACATAATACTAACAGACAAATGTTAAAAATGTGATGTAATTCCTGTTTTCACTCTTACTTCGTTAAGTGTTAGAGGGAATATATCTGGCTAGGAACATCACATTAGCCATAAAATGTTTTGAATTTCATGTAATTGCTGTGATTATCAGCTATTACAAATCCCTGATTTTTATTTTTTTAAATACTGTACATTGTTACATAAATTGCATATCAACAAATGTGTATGAGTAATGCTGGAAAAATGCAACAAAAGTTATGTGAAATTCCTAAAGCATTTTGAGAACTATACAAAATCATTTTCTTTAATGATTTAGCTGCAGTATTAAACCATGACCATTATGGCCCTTCTACTTAATACAGTATTGTAAAGCTAAACCTTGTTTTATGTTATAGTTGTTGCCTGTTTCCTGTACTGTACCTTCTTGTATATCTCCTTAATAGCCTGGAGAAGCACAGAATGGTGATGGTCCCACTTTACTGACACTGATTCCGACTCCTTATCAGCCATTCTCAGCTCTGCAAGAAGAGGAAGAAAGAATATAATTTCAAGCATTTCATCACAACAACTGCAAAATTAATCTAACCTGCTAATCTACTTGTACTGACATGATACACCCAATTTTTATCCTTTTTCTTACCCATTTACTCAGTACAGTGGCCCCTCCATTAACGAACTCAATCCGTTCCAGAAGGTCGTTCGTTAGCAAAACGATGGATTAACCCGAAACCATTGTTTCAATGGGTTTTTGGGTATTGGTTCCAGCTCACCAAAATTTTCAAATTTTCTAACTTCAACAAAAATGGCGGAAAAATTTACTTACTTTGAGGTGTGTATGTAGAAAGGCTCCTGGATGATGATGTGTGCATTTAGCAGAGTGGGAATTTTGGGAGGAGAAGGGAGAAGAAGTGGAGGGAGGTGGGAGGCTTGTGCACTGTGGAAGGTGAGAGTCACCTTCCGCCAGAAATGTCAGGAACTGGACAGTTCTCTGTAGTCCTCTCTCCTTCTTGAAGTGGAGAGAGCTGAGGGCTAGCATCTTGTTCCCTCTGCCTTTTTGCTGAAAAAAGTGTCAGTGTGGTCTGTGGGGCATCTGTCATCCTGCAACTTTATGTTTAAAGAAGGAGACCACTGAGTCCTCAACATGACACAAAGTTAGTTCAGTTTTTCCCACTTGGGTGCTTTGACAGTTCTGAACTTCTCTGATGTGGTAAATCACATCCTTTTCAACTGTTTTAGCTGACGCATATCAGTCATCACTTTCAATTTCACTACTCCACCACTGTCAGCCTCTACCCGTAACATCTCATCCAGTTCCTTCAAGTCATCAAGATGATTCCTCCTCGCAGAGACATCACAATCTTCCCATCCTTCTCCTCCCACTTGAGGCCCAGCCAGGCTGACCAATGGACACCAATCTCCTGGTCAACTCTCTGTATCCTCCATTCCTCAAAATCATGGACTACTGATGGCACAATTATTTCCATGAAGAATTGGGGACTATTGAGAACTTCTTGCCATGATGACGTCAATTTTACAGCCTCCAGGGCGTTGAATTGTAGCTCTTCCAAAGACATTTCAGCGTTAGTTCAGGATCAGCGGAAGTTGCTGTTGACACCTCTAAACTTTTCTTCATATTTTGCGCTTCTTGAAGTTGCTGATTATTCTGGTCCATTAAAAGCTGTATGAGGCGTGTAGTGTTTGGGCAAAAACAACACTTTCTGAGTCAAATTGATACTCAAATTTCTGCTTAAAGGTCAAGGAGTCATGATCAGGAGCAACCTCCGCCGAGGAGAGCTTGCCTTTAAAGAAGTTTATTGGTTAGGTAGCTCTTGACAGAAGGGCAAACACATCAACAGCCCATTCATTAAAGAACTGTATATGCCTTACGGTTGGACTTACAATAAACTCCAAGCATTGTTCTTACCACTTTATTTGGCAAGACACCTGTGGGTTTTCCAGAGTGGTAGACAAACATAAACCAGTCGGAGAAATCTGAAACGTTAACCAAGCAGTAAGTGAAGACGGTCTTTTTGGGTTTATGCGGGTAAAAGAGGCTTCATCTTTGGTGATGAATGTTCTTTGGGCATCTTTTCAGGAACAACAGTTTCGTCCATTGAACACTTGCTGTGGAAGATAATTTTCTTCTTCCATCAGTTTTTCCAAATTCAACTAAACTTTGCTGCCCCTTTCTTTATCAGCACTGCTTGGCTTCACCATGCCTAACAACGCCGTCTCTTCTTTACTGTAGAATTTTTTCGAACCAGCCTTTGCTGGCCCTAAAATCTTCACAAATGAAATCACCAGAAATTGAATCACCTTTCATCTGTTTTCCTAATCCAGATGATAGGCGATAACCTCTCAGTTTCTACGATTGAGGATCTACTTTTTAAACACTCTTGTAGATTTGTCTCTAGCGTTCACTTCCTTAAATTTATGTCTTTTTGTGCAAGAATTATGGAAACACAATTGATGCTGACATGCCATATTCTTTGCATAAGCGCATTGATTTAATACCTTGTTCGTGTTTTTTATTATTTCCTGCTTTAGTTGGTTCCAGAAATCGCTTTCTTCTTGATCTCTTAGGCCCCATGCTGGATTCAAACAATGTGTTTTCAAAAGTTAAACTAGCTGTAAATAAAGATATTTTCTTTTGAAAATAACACTGCACTGCACTATATATTGTCAATATGTAAAATAATTTTCAAAATGACCAATAATTTGCTTTGAAACTTTAGAAAAAAAGCGTTTAGTTGAAGGTCTCAAGCAGATGTTACCTCGAAGTGAAAACAGAGAGACTAACGCTGTTTGCTGTGTTAAGAGGCTGGATGCAGCGCATTAAACTAGTCCTCTGCAGCCAATTTTATGTTCAATAATTGACAAAAATATTTAAAAATTGAATATTAAACTTTATTGAATAAGGCATAAACTTCTTGATATTTACTAAAAACGTGAAATTTAAGCCCCTAGAACGATTAATGTATTGGCGGACTGATGCTAAAAGTAGTTTGCCCGGTCAGTGCAAACATGTTGGTCCGGTTAAATGAAAGTTAGATTAGCGAAATTTTTTCGTTAACCGGAAGGTGAAGATCATATGGAAGGAGTTAGATTAATCGAAATTCACGTTAACGTTAACGGTGTTAGTTAAGCGAGGTCACTGTATACTAATATTAAAAATGTGCCCAAAGTAGAGAACCTCTTACACATTACAGTATTGTACATACAGCCGACATTACTCAGCTGAGCATTCTTACTATATACTGTAACTTTTCCTCTTTACCATTGATTAGCTTGTTAGCCACTTGGGCACCCCACTAGGGGTCACATCTTCACACCTTCAGGTTAAAGAAGCCATAAGGGTTAGGATTCAGAAAAAGGTTGACCACAGAACTTTGTGTTTATATTTACACAGTGGTCCCTCGGTTAATGAATTACCTTCCATAAGAATATTCAATTCGGTTAACGAACAAAAATCAGGTTAACGAAATTCTTACGAAAATGTTTCAACATGCTTTGGCTTGCTCATCAGCTGGAAGATTAGTCGGCCAATACAGAAATCGGTTCTAGGGCTTACATTTGTTAAAATTGGAGTAAATATCAAGAAGGTTGTACTATTCAATAATTTTCCAAGTTTTATATTAATTTTTAGTCATTTTAACACTTATTTAACATAATTGCAGTACAGGAACTAGTTTTTGGTGTAGCACAGCCACTTCACTCACCAAAGGCCTCAGCAGTATCTCTGTTCAGTGGAGGAAACATCTTTCGTGGCTCTCTTGAACACAGAGTATTTTACGTTTTTAGTACAATTATTGATCATTCTGAAATTTATTTAACATATTGACAATATAATTAGTTCAGTGTTGATTTAAATAAAATAATTGAATTACACCTAGTGAACTTAAAATTTTATGGGTGAAGCAGGCATCAAGCATGGGGTGATTTCTCCCCCCCCACTTCTTCTTCTCCTTCTCCTCCACTCCCACTTCTAATTCCCATCATCATCAACCAGGAGCCTACATACACACCTCAAAGTAAGTGTACTGTGTACTTTACTGCATTTTTTTTTTTACTTTGTATGTAATTTTCGGTGAGCTGGAACCAATTACCCAAAATCCCATTGAAACAATGGTTTCGGTTAACGAACAACCTTCTGGAACGAATTGTGTTCGTTAACGAGGACCACTGTATAGGTAGATAAAGCAAAAAAAAAGTATTCTATTACGTTTCAGTCAAAATTTATATTTCTCAAGTATTTTGGACTTAACAATTTCACAGAAAAACTTGCCATACATTTTGGCAGGAGACACTGTTTATATCTGACTCACATGAGTATGATCCGCTAATCAGCGTTGCTCTCGGTGTCACGTGATACTCCTGTGCATCCTCCGATTTTTTTATTTTAGTTGGCTAGTCACATGAAGGCTTCTCTCTGTATGGGTGTTCTATCTCAGCCCAAATCATTCATCGTCTATTTGAAAATGAAGCTGCTACCAGTGACATCTCTTAAGGCTCATGGTACAGTATTCTGCCAACCTTGTGAAGTGCTACAGGTATTCATATGCAAAATATAGAATGATTGTGGAAGGATATACAGTACTCGTAAAGAGTTTGTTGCTTAATGGTAGCTATAAGAAGGAACATGTTCCAAGCCGAATACCTGTACAACAATCACAAAACTCCACCACTTGTTCCTACAGTAACATCACTTTATCCTCTGGCATCTCTTAATTAAGGTAAGATTTTTACACAATGGAGGGTCCAGGGGGAGGGGGGGGGGCAGGTTAGGTTAGGTCAGGTCCTGCTGGTGTGTCTGGTTAGGAGGTTTCGTTAGGTTTCATTTTGTCAGTTTTGCGTATTTTAACCCCACAAATGCCCATTTTGTGCAACCAATATTGTTGGTAATTAGGGGATCAAATATACATAAAGGCTCATTATCAATGGAAATGAGGGTCAGATTCACGTGAAGCACCACAAAATACACGATAATTTTTTTTTTTTTTTAAGTTTCTGTGGTTGACCTTTTCCGAATCTTTACTGCAATAAGTTCAGAAATTTGTCAGGGCAAACTTTTTTGGAGTGTGAGTTAAAAACTCTTGGAATAATTTGGCAGAGAGTGTTGTAACAGCACCAAGTGTAGGCTCTTTCAAGACCAGACTTGACCAACACTGGTGCAGGTACAGATACATACTGGAGCTAGTACAGGTCAACAATGTGTAACAGAGATGTGACTGACTGATCAAGATTCGGTATTATTTTACTTTAGGACATAGCGCACCCGAAATTTATAAACTATTGAAACATTTAGACCTGACCTATTCTGAGCATTTTGAACCCCATATACCATACTGTAGTGTAAACCAGGCAGAAATGGATAACAGCGACACAATCGAATTTAATTGATTTTACGTAGTTTTCAGTCTTCGTCTGTGAGGAAATGTTATCGGCGCATCACGCATGCACAATATTGACTGACGTCATCCAGTCGTGACCAATGATGTATCGATATTATCAAGCGAATTTTTTTCGACCAATCGCATTTGATTTTTTCAAAGGAAGCAGTCTGGGTACGATTTTAATTTCGTTAACCAGTCTCACAATGGAGGTGGGTTGTCATTTGTGCTCCTACGATTATTTTAATTTTATTGCTAACTTTTACGAGAAAGGCGACCATTCTATCCAATTCTTACGTATCCCATGTCCTTCCACGTTTAACTAAGGTATTGTACTTTCGGACATGGTACGCTCCAAAGTTTTAAACTACTGAAACAGTTAGGTTAGTTTAAGCTAGACCTACCGGAGGTCCAGGGGCAAAGCCCTCTGCTTGGGGGTTAGGTTAGGTTTTGTGAAGTTTGATGACTCGTTTTCTCCCCCACCCAAAAACCCTGATTTCCCAGGCTCTCCCCCATTGTTGTTAGGGGAGCACAAACTAGCATTTTCTGCCAAAAATGAAGTTCAGATTCGTTTAAAACTCACCAAAATACAATGGAAAAATATATTGGTCAACCCCAAAGGACTCTTGTCCTAAAGTAAAAATTTACCCAAGATACTAACAGAAATGAAAAGGATAAAGTATAGAAGTCAAGTTAAATCAAAGGTTCAAGAAAAGGTTACTAACAAAACTGGATGAAGGGAACAAAATTTTCTCTATAATATTATATGTAAATGAAGCTAGTTCTGAAGATATGCCCATCTGTGCCTTAAAACTAATGCCTGTATCACCAGGGACCATAAACTATGAGCTGTCAGCAGTGAAAACCTGACACAATAGAGAACCTCTACATTACTTCCTTGTAAACCTTCTCCAATGAGTGTACTTAATAAACTTGGTAACATTTTAGTTTCGGCCATTCCTATGTTTTTCCTACTTTTTTTTTTACATATTTTAAATGGTTTTGATATGATCTGATCTAACCTAACCTAGCCACAGAACCCTGGAGCCATAACTAACCTAACCTAGCCACAGAACCCTGCAGCCATAACTAACCTAACCTAACTTCCTAAGATTCCCCGGATAAGTGAAACTAAAATAGAGTAATACCCAAAACTTAATAAATACCTTCTATCCATCGCTTACATGAAACAGTATCTAAAAATAATGAAAGGCCACAATTTAAGACATTAAGATACAGCTCTTACAGATCTTTTCAAACAACTCTCTCCCAGTTACATTTTCATTGGCGTACCACTAATTTACCTGTTATAAGTATACAAATGCAATATTGAGCCTTTAAATGCCTAAATATGAACAAGGAAGTGGAGGTGTTCCTTACCTGGGTGTAGAAGGGACGCTAAGATAAAGGGTACGATAAGAAGGTCGTTTACTTCACAAACACCCAAATATTTTTTTCTTAATATTACTTTACCAAAAACAAATTTATCTTTAATTGATTCATGTAAAGACAGATCACACTATATGTTGTTTTTCAGTGTTTGTTGGTTTACTGCAAACTGACACCTAGCTTAAACTGCTTTATTAAATTCTGCTGCCGTTTTGATTCAAATATAAAAACCAAATAAAAAAAAATATTGCAGTTCGGTATAAGTGAATAGGATAAAGATAGGATACATGATAAAAAAACATATTACAAGTAGTAGGTACATATTTAACACAGTAAATTTTAATGTTAGAAATATGCGACTTAGTGATGAAAGGGAGTGAATAATTTACTTTAAATGGAGTGACGGATACACAGGTGTTAAAGATGGAAATAGGTATTGACACAGGTTAAATGTCCTATGTTCTTATGTATGAAAATCCAGAATGACCATTAACAAGGCCACACTATTATCTGAAAAGCTCATCCTTTTAGGGTGTTCACGGCGTCTAGAAGACCAGCCGGGTTCAATATCTCCAGACTCACTCCTTTGTTTGCTACATTATTATTAGTTTTATTATTGTCATTATTATTACTTTTACTTTTATCCTTACTAGCCAATCCGCGTACAGCATGACATACATGGCATAAATGCTAGTGACAGGGGGGAAGGAGGTTCAGGGGAAGGATAAAGAGAGGATTGAAGTGAATTTTAGAGGGAGAGGAAAGGTGCAGTGGCTAAACACAGCTTGCGTTATTTTGGGTTTTAAGTTAGAGGCAGCAGCAACCTGCGTGGACGCGGCGAGGAGGGGGCAGGTACCCAGAGTCAGGTCAAACGTCAGGTGCATGTCGGGTTGGGCAATGGTTTCTCAGTACTTGGTCGGCTTAAAGTTGATTTTCTTCTTTTCCTCCTCTTCTTGCTCTCTTGGACTGTCCATTCGGTAGTGTTTGGGTCCTGTACTTTGTCGTCGTCGTGTAGTGTACGGTATGTGGCCAGTTGTCAATTCTCTTTAGTGGTCTATTGTCTCTTTATATGGGCACACAAACGTACGTACATGTAGATATCTCACAACTCAGGAATGAGGTAGAATAGACACTCACAATGCGTTTTTTGTATATATATATTGTTGTACAGTGCAGTGCTAAGGAGTTACTAGGTGAGGAGTAACTTGCTCAGAGGTCTTGTAGGGGGAGGAGCTTTCTGAGGGAGCTGGTTGGTGAGGCGTAGCGTAGCGCGATAGCCAATCATAGAGGAGAATGCCAGAAGTGCCTGGCACTCTGATCCTGGCGTTGCTACATGTGCGTCCGCACTGGAGAGTAGGTCTGTAGTGGATTTCTCCTACAAACGCTGTTTGTCGCTGAGTAGCCGACCCCCCGAATTCCCCAGTGTTTGCCTTGTGGTCTGGGTCAACCAACGCCGCCATACATCACGGAGGTCAACTACTAAGCCACGCCTACCCCCGCTATTTAAGACCTGACCTCGTGGTGACCTCTCTCTTCTTCTAGCTACAACCGCAGCAAGCTACACCTCCTCCTCCGCCGCTGCCTGACGGCCCTTGCTCCCGCCGGGGAGCATGGCGACCCACAAGCTGTCCTCCTCTGAGCATCCTCACCAACCAGCTCTGTCTACATCACGCTTGTAACCACGCTGCCACTTCCCAGCACCAAGCTGCATTGTACATCCAATACAACATGTATACAGAGAGCACATTGTGAGTTTCCTTTCTCCATCCCATCCTGAGTGTGAACCCAAATAACCTGTTCCCCACAGGTCTACCAGCATCGCTGGCTATACGCTGATTGGCTGGTAGGCGCGCAGGAGCTCAGTCGTCAGTTGTAGGGGACAGGATCCACTACAGTCGTGCCCTAGGTGTTTGTAGATGTGGATGAAGTCGGAGGGGGTGATCTTGATGAGGGCTTCTGCCCCTGGGGTCTCGTGGTGTTCTTGTTTCTTGGTAACGTGTGTCTTTTCTTGTCTTGGGCGTGTACAGCAAGGAGGGCCTCTTTGTAACTCAGTTTCTTGTCGAGTCGAGCCTTGGCTATCCTGCATTCCTCTTTCCATTTGGGGCAGGTCCGGTCGGCGGAGGAATGTGGGCCGCCACAGGCAGCTCATTTTTTCACTGTATTAGGGCAGACGGTGTAGCGGTGTCCGGGGTTACCACACAGGGAGCAGGTGTCCTCCTGCGCCACACACTTGTTGACAGTGTGACCGTAGTGCTGGCATTTGTAGCAGCGTTTGGGTCTGCAGAAAGGCTTGACTGGCACAGTTACCCACGCCAGTTGAGCCTCCTTGGGTAGGGTTTCGTGGTGTCCGACGAGGGCAGTGGTGTCGGACAGCTTCTTGACACATCTGAGTTGTACCTCAAGTAGTTCGTCCAGCTCTTCTTGGTCCATGTGGGCAATTTCAGCGTGGGAGATTACTCCCAGCTTCAAGTTGTCCCATATGTAGGCAATTATTTGTATTTTGATGCTGTTGATGTCGGGGATCTCCGCGAGTTGTTTGGGCTGACCATATTCGGCGAAGGTGATCTTGATGTTTCCATTCAGCTTCAGTCGTTCCACCTTGGTAATCCCCACGATACCTTTAGTTTCAAAGAATTTCTTGAGGACTAGGAGGTTTAATTTCAGCTACGCCGAAAAACTAGGTCTATGGTGCGGACGTAGGGGTACGACCGCCGACCTAGTCTTGACCTTCCACCTCAAGCTCAGGATCAGAGAGTTTCACACCTTTCGCGTTCTCCCCAGTAATTGACTCTCGCGCTACGCGCGCCTCGATTCCTGATGCGGCAGAATCACATAAATACGGGACGGGCTGGCCGGGGAGGTCTCTTCTCTCCCTTCCCATGGCAAGCC